TTCCTTCTCTTTCTTTCTCTCCCTTTCTCTATGCTTTCATTTCTTATTTCCTCACTTCTCCGCTGCCATCTCTACCATCATATCATGTCTTCGTCTTTTCCTTTTTTGACTCGAAATCAAACATTTCATTGATATGCCTTATCAACTACTTGAATTCTCAAAACCTTAAGCAAAACATAGACACATTAGATGACGTCAACAGCACCGTTCCTAAACGATCTAGAGTCGCGTCGCGTCAAAAAAATTCATCATGCATGCCTTTTTTTCCAACCCACTTCATATGAAAGCTTTAAAAAATTTAAAACGACGAGACTGAGGTATTTAGACCACGTATGGCGCTGTACGTCATCAGACGTCATCTTTCAGTAAACTACAAGATAAATATTAATGGCACTTTTTTCGCCAAAAAAGTTTTGAAACTTCAAACAAACGCTAATACGCAATAATGAAATGTTGGAATACAAGCGAAGAGAAAAAAGAAGCGAAGCAATGACACAAGGAAGCAACTTAACGAACAAAAAAACAACTCTATGAACTATTTTGCGATGAAAACGAAAAGGGTTGCTAAGCACAAATATTCAATATCCATAATTTTGCAAAGTATTTATATTTCCAAGGCTAGTATTTTGAATTCAAATCGTGGAGCCCCGTTACAAACGAACAAAAAAAATATCAAAAAAACAGGGGTTTTTAACCAATTTTTCGGACTATTCTCAAAAACCTCGTCTTTTTCAATTATTTTAAATTCCGAAAACAATTATCCATTTTTATGACGTTAATRTAGGTAAGAGAAAAAGCTATAAAATTAAACTCTTCGCAGGTTAAAATAAGAAGTATTAATACTATTTTTAGCTTGGCGTAAAGTTTAGGATTGTTTGAAAAGTTTGTCAACAGTTTGATTAACTTTTTTTGTTTTAAAGTTAATCTTGTTTCATCCTCTCACTACGTAATATCACTACTTTCTTTCTCAGTTGTTTCAAAATTTTAGGAAGATATTAGAAGAGTTAGGGAGGATAAAAGTTGAAAAATCGTGAACTACAGAGAGGAAGGCGACGTACGAAGGAGAAGAAGAAGGAGAAGAAGAAAAAGAAGGAGAAGAAGAAGGAAGAGACAATTTCAAAAAATTACTGAAAAGAATGAATCACAATGCTGTCGGTGAGGCGCGCTAATTCACGCAACATAGCAACTGATAGTCATTTCTTATATTCATTATTATGAGTCTTCCTATAATTGACTTTCCAAAATCACTAAAAATTAACGAAAACCTCAAAAGAAAAAAAATGTGCATAAACTGCAAAAGTATATTGTCTAAACTGTTTGCAAATTTTGTCCAAATGCAAATTTTTTCTTTTTCTTTTTTTGCTTAATCGTCCCGCTAAATTTTCGCAGGAAATGCAGCTAAGAATGAGAAGATCTTTCTCGCATTTATTCACTAATAATTGAATAGAGTTTAGCTTTAACCTGAGCTAAAACTGTCTTGAGTGGGCATATAGCGTCTTAATTTAGCAGACCTAAAAGGTTAAATGTAAATTAGAACTGTGTCTGAACTAAACAATCAAGTGAGTTTGTCCCATGCTTTCTATGGCAGAGAAGGACTAAATTCAATAAGATTAACTATATTTATAAACAAAGGCAGTCAAGTATAGGAGTGCACTTGGCTCTCACTTCTGACGTCTGTACTTGGTTTCTCATGAGAATATCGTTGTTAGGTCTCTCCAATTTCGCAGGTTTCCTAGATTCCCTAAATTCCAATTCTGTGTATTCGCGGTTGCCCGACTTAGATAAGCCCAGAGGTTTTCTAAGGGTTTGATCTGCGAGCTAGCTGTGCCTTAATTAGAACAGCACATGTAGAAGTTGTTCAGGGTTCGATCTGTGAGTTAGCCGTGCACTGACTTTAATCAGGTTGTTTCAGGGTTAGATAAAATAAACTATTAAATACACACTTACCAATAATTGGCAGTCCCCATGGTCCTGGAGGTAGGCTGTACTGTGACCTGATAGAAAGATCTTGCAGATGCTTGTGTGCAATCAAGATTATTAAAAGGAAAGAAACCAACAAGAAAAATAACTGCGTTTCAAAACTGTATGGTAATTCTGGATTGAACTGCATGAATGGCGGAGAATACATCGTTGCGAAGTCTAGTGCTTGTATTTTTTTAGAGATCTTTTGCTGGGACACTGAAGACCTAGTTGTACTAATTTAACAGCCTGGGAGAGTCGTTTATAGGCACCCAATAGCAGTCTTGTTCTTAACGAGAACCAATCGAAATCCTAGCTATTTTGTAGCTCAATTGACAGCGAATAGATTCCTAGTATGCTTAATGCGTACGTAAACAAATCGCATTGGAAACCACACGAAAGCATTGTGAACCAGAAAATTTTGAGAAACACTTGACAACATGTTTCCGTCCTCAATCTGTAGATCTTAAAAAGGAAAACTTAAAAAAGAAGGATTTATAAAATAAAAACTTCAATAAGGCACGATACGATGCCATGCTAAAACCTATACATGCATTTTCTTTTCGAGCTCAAAACGCACTAGAGCAAATCGTTCTATTGATTTAGGAAATCATTTTATGAATGAGTATTAAGTTCGTGTCCAAATATTTCGTAATGTTTAATACTAAAATCTCTTTAAAATTGACGAAAAACAGCGACTAGTTAAAGAAAAATAAAGTGAGTTGAGAGTCAAGAAAAATAAAACTGTTTTTCAAATCAGAAAATAAGTAAATTTTAACTTTCAATAGACCTTATTCGTGGTGTGACAATGTTTTCCCAATTCAGCGTGACAAACCTCGAGAGGACTCATTTTCTTTTGTTTTTACTCTTCGAAAAATGCATGAGTATCCCAAAGGATACGAAAGGAATAACGATGATATCCCGACAAGTTGCAAAACAATAGCACTTCATTCCCCCAGAGGTTTGTCACGTTGAATTGGGAAAACATTGTCACACCATGAATAAGATCTATTTGTTTACTTGCTAAAAATAGCATAAACTTGTAAACACATTAAATGCAATAAATCTTGAAACTCCCAATGAAAATTATCAAAAGTTAGCTAATGTGCGTCGCAATAAATAGATAAAATTATTGTTAAATAATGATTACAAATAATTTTTGAAACCACAAATTTGAGATAAAAGATTTGCTCAAAATTTAAGGAGGCTGGAAAGTGTTTTGTGCCTCCATATACACTCACAATAATTATGAACTAGAAAAAATAATATGGCTATAATATGACAGCAAGTAAACCCGAAAAGCCAAAGACGATAAACCAAAGATCACAATGAACACGAAAAAATGACGTAACCATATGCAAAATTTGAAGACATTTAACGCAGAATTTTTTTTCAGTGTGAGTACACGTCATAGGACCTAGAGCGCGCGCGCTCAAAAAAACTGAATATAAACTAGAGCAGAACTTAAATAAAACTTTACGTAAAATCGGACTTAAAAATACTTAAGTTAATTCAATTAGAACAAATATTTTTACACCACAGAAATGAGATAAAATAAATCCGTATCTAACCCTAATAGACCAAATGTCTAAAGACACTTTCTAGATTAGAAACCCATTGTTTTAGATAAACTGTTTTTGAACCCAAACGTGTGGGAAGCTTTTATTTGCTTCTGTCTTTGACGTCTTTGCCGTAGAAAACAAAATCCAGGAAGTAAGAGAAAACGCGAGAAGATATTTGAGAGAAAAATTCCGAAATAATTTTCAAGTTAAAAAGTTCGATAAACTTTGTTTTGTAGTATAATAAGGTATTAGGGTCTTTTGTTTTGAACTTTTTGAAAGATAATCCGAGGTTTTCTAGTTGGATGAGCAAAGCGTGATGACAGCCTTTTTGCATGTCCGTAGCCCGATAGCAAGGTATAGGACGTAAACATTAAAAAAGGCAAAGCTCACGAAATATTAGTGAAGTGAACCAAAGTTTGTTGATTTATATTTTGAACGTGTGAAGAGGAGATAGGAAGATAAAGCTTGGAACGGCTGACTTCTGGAAAAAAACTCGTCAGAGAAGACTTATCGGAGGGAAATATTCAATACAAAAATAGAATTTTAGAATGAAAATAGAAAAACTACCGCTGGGAAACAATGGGAAGTCATTTCAATGCGTACCGTGTAAGTGCCGTAAGTCAGTACCGTACGTTTCCCACTCATACGATAACCATTCTTATGGGAAGCCATTTCAATGTTACGGTATGTCTTACTGTGTATGTCCTGTAAGTCAGTACCGTACGTTTCCCACTCATACGATAACCATTCGTATGGGAAGCCATTTCAGTGTTATGGTATGTCTTACTGTGTATGTCCTGTAAGTCAGTATCGTACGTTTCCCACTCATACGATAAACATTCTTATGGGCAGCCATTTCAATGTCACGACATGTTGTATTGGTACGTACCGTGCTGTAAGTTCATTTCTCTTGGTCGTACCGTGTAAGTGCTGTAAGTCAGTACCGTACGTTTCCCACTCATACGATAACTATTCGTATGGGAAGCCATTTCCATGTTACGGCATGTACCGTGTACGTGCTGTAAGTCAGTACTGTACGTTTCCCACTCATACGATAACTATTCTAATGAAAAGCCATTTCAAGGAATGTTGCATGTCGTACTGCGTACGTGTGGTGACTCAGAACCCATTTTACTAAAAAGACAAATTTATTATCATGCATTATTATTATTATATCCATCACAGGAAATTCTTTAAAAAAATCATAGCAAAGTCAAAATAAAGAGAAAAAAATGCAGAATAAATAACTAAACGTCAGATGTGAAAGATATACAAACAGCTTGGTAATTCTACCTTGGATTCTATCTTGTACCGTTTCAAACCACTCTTAAATTGAACGTTCCTTTGAGTATCGAAGATTTTGAATTTTATAATAAATGAAAAAAAGGACAAGACTTCAACTTGAACCGCTTATGAAATTAGAAAATAGACCCTTTTCGAGTTCCGCTATGCTGGTTGATATAACAAGAAAAGCTTAATGAGCAATGCATTGTTATCGTCAACCAAGATGGCGGCTATGACGTAACATGCACCGTAAGAGTTGTTGTCCTCCAAATAGACCCTTTTTGAGTTCCAAGTTACCGCTGTGTTTCTTGATTACCGACCCATTCACTC